ATGGACATTTCAAATGTCGACAGAAGAATACTACTTCTCTCTACCGAAGGAAGTAGACGTGCAATCCAGCGACATATGTGGGGTGGGGCCATAAATTGTGCAAACCCCCGCAGTACTGGTAATAATAATGCATGCCTTCCTACCATGGAAACCCCCCTAATCGGTTTTTTATTTACTACGAAATGCTGCGCTAATGCTAACCTCGGTCGCCTTTTCCGTGGTAATGCCCGGGTTTCGAAACCCAAAATATCCTCCCCGAATCCCATAGGCGAGGAGACCAATAAGACCTTATAGGGATTCTATAGGATTCTAATGGATCCTATAGGTTTTTCGTGTTTCAAAAACCAAAGGAAAATGGGTTTCCAATAAGAAATAACTATAGGTTTCCTATAGGAAATTTCCATCAGGGTTTTTGAAACATGAACGTTATGTTTTGAAGCGAGTGCCTGAAATTCGCTCTAAAGGACACCAGCAATGTGTTCTATTGGAAAATACGTTTCGGTGAAGGACGTTTGGCATGTATGCTGTAGGAAAATTTTATATATATATTTAGATATATATATTTAGATATATACATTTTAGAATAGATTATCTGGCCGATGATATGCCAATACACTGACGTCATTTCTCTGTGATCTTTGTTCATAAAAGTTTTTTACCGTTTTGCCGATCATACAATGAGGACTTATCCTCTTGTCCTCAACTTCTACTCTGACAACTTATACAATCTAGGCTCGGTTGTTGAGTGGATGTGTATACAGCGGGTGTTTCAACAGTGATCAACCAGGATCAAACCAAAATTGATTTATTCCTGTGAAATCATCAAATCGCCCATTGAGATTATTTCGCATGAGATATACGGACGAGGTGCTGCTTGAAAGCACTCAAACTCCTCCCCTCCTCCCATTCATCCCCTCTCGCCTTCGTTGAACGGGAAATTGCACATTTCTGCTCCACAACAGATCACGGTTTCTCCCGGTCGAGCCCATTGCTATTTTCCCACACCCTAATAAGGTCAGACTACTATTTTGAGAAGTCACTTGACTTTTGCCGTCTCTCAAAAGGGTGCAGGGCGTTGTATCCGGTCGAAAACCCCTCAACGAGCCAATAGAGCGAGCATAAGTTGGAAAGATTTGGAGATCCTAAGATGCGATTTTCCCAACTCTCATATCTCATATCTACAAACGAAAATGGGTCCGAAAGTCATAACAGTTTTTTAACTGATGAACAGAAATGACCTCTTTTCAACCCTTTTTTTGCTGATTATATCGTTACAGAAATTAATTGTAAGTAAATATTCAGGATCAGGTATTTTTGATTCTTCTGAATAGCAGGGAGCATTATTGTCTGCCCTTTACATTGCTGTATCGACGTAAGACACTATTTCAACGTTTGAGAAGGAGCATTCAGCTCCGACAACTATGGACGATGGGAAAACCTCCGTGTGTTTGGTTGGAATTAATTTTGAAGGATGGAAATAGCCGTCGTCAGCCATGCATCCATCGTCGCACTCGTGGAATCGGTCTTCCGTAATTTAGGTTTCGAAAGATAGGAAAATCGCGCTTCGCGTTTCGCTTTCGTACGTTAGCAATGAAATCGGATATTAAGTTTTGTGAAAAGTTTGCAGAGTTCACAAACAGTTTCTAAAAGGGACGTTAACAATTGGGAAAAACTGTACCATGGACGCTTGGAACTCATCTACTCATGGCAGCATGGGTGTGGGAGGCACTGCGGTGAGCGATGCCTACGTCACCTTACCACGCCTGTTCCTGTACCACGCCTACTCTCGTCTCCTCATCCATCCTGAAGATGGGGAGACGAGAGCGAATCTTCGATTTTCCGTGCCGTGAAAACCCCAATCCCCCTCCAACCCCAACTCAACCCCCCTCGTAAGGCCGTTCGTCAAATTATATTTCGCAATGGCAAATCCTCGGCCGGTAATAAAGATTCGTGTTGAAACGACGGGTCCACATTTCGAAGCGTGTCGCTGTCACACACAAATATACATTCATCACTTGCCCTTGCTAGTGGTCAGAATTGCATAATTTTTCTGGTTTGGATGTAACCTGATTCGTCGTAAAAGCAAATTGAATGGGTTTCCCATATCTTTTTCAGATGCCATTCGGTTGAAAAAGTGAACACGTTGAGCATTTTCGATTCGCTTGATGGTGAAAATGGCCGAGGTCCCATCTCGTCCACCTCTAGTGCGAACTAATCGAAAGTCTCAGGAATTTTTGGTGGTAAATCCTTTAACGGAAGAAGTAAAACTCTTGAAACTCGACTTTTAGTGTGTGCCAGTGAATTAAACGAGACCTTTTCTCAGGGTGATGTGACGGGAAATCGGTTACGATATAGAAAACCGGGAGTGGCCGAGAAAAGGATCCATCCATCGCGCGCTAACGGCACCCAAGATCACGAGAAAGAGAGGTCACTCAGATACACGATGAGCGTTTCCGCAAGTCAATTAAAGATTTTAACGCATGCGCTAAGATCTCCATCCACGGATTCATTATGAGAATGAGGAATTTTCAAGGGATGACTGAGCACATGGGCCAGGTTCCAAATGCCACCTGCGACGGCGCTTGCGGTGTGTTACTCACTTCCTCATCCAATCAAGAGATGGCGCCAACGCAATAGTCATCAGTTCGTCGTCCCCTCCAGCGATGGTGCTTGGATTGTTGGCCCGAGCGATCCTCTCAAGGATTTGGTTCTCGTCATCTCCCGTCTTCCTGGCCACGTTTTACGGAAAGTCATTGAAAATTCACCGAAATTTCTCACACTCAAACCATATTCCAACCATTCAGAAAGAATGAACAAGACTTACCTTTCGGTCGTGATGAAGGCGAGAGAACTGGTGATGCAGGAGATCACGACTGGACTACTCTATTTCTTAGCTTACAGCAGCTTTTATACCGTCTGTTTCCTCCTTCCATGGAGTGGTCGACCTTGACACCCCCCCTTCCCCCCCCCCCCCCATGCAAGATATCCATCTCCCCTACTTCCGGCTTCCTTTCCCCCTTCCCCCTTGATCTGATTACGAGTCCGTTGGCGAACGAATTTCTTCCCTCTTGTCTCCCACTGTCTCTTCAAAGCACGCTGTGCCCATTTCCTCCATTAAAATGTGAATTCTCCCCACTTAGTGAAATGCTTAATAATTATCTCTTGGTATTGAATGACTCCTTGTTCGCCATGGATCGGACAATAAAGAATCCATTGAAATCAGCAATTCTATCCAGCACAAACTCACTGTGGTCCTGTTCATCCCCTCCAATTCAGTTTTCCTTTTCCCCTCTGTGTCTTCATCCTCTCGTCCTCATCATTAAATTTCCCTCGCCTATGCGTTTAAGTAATCAATTGGAAGGAAAGTACATTTTCTTTTAATTACTTTGAAATTTGGGCTGGTGACATGGCGTTGAATGGCGGAATTCAATTTTCTGATATGGTCTGTGGAAACTAATTCGGGGCATGTTGTGGGAGAATCGATCCCTTTTTCTTCCATCCACTTCCATAAGTCATTTGAATGATTTGCTCAGGGCACATGAACTGGACGAATTTTGGATCGCCCATGAGGCTTGTGCAGCATCATCCAAAATGTGTCTAGAACAGTCCAGTTGTCCAGAGATGGTCAAATTTATAGAACCAGCCATCCTTTAGAATGTCATCGGATGTCATCTGCATGGATCGATATCGTCTCATGAATTCTGCGCTTCATCTTTGCAGAATTTCCCTACATCGAACATTTTATTATTTCCATTTTATTGCATTACGGTCTTCATGAACTGGTTTTACGAGCATCTCATCATTGGGTTTTTTCCTACATGTCTCCTTTTTTAGGTTGAAACCTATTAGCTTTAACCATCATATAATTTGCGTGACATTATAATTAGACCAGTGCATGATTTCATTTAGAGTTTCACTTTACTAACGGAACGACATGTCTGTCCGTCTTTGGGCATCCATTGGACGCTCAGCAAAGGAACATCGGAGAATAACTTCAAGTTGCAAGATGGCATGTAAAAAGTATTTGGAGATGTTTATTTACAAATAGGTTCATTTATTCTACAAATGCATGCCTGGAGGCTGATTTCTTGAATGGCTATCCTTACGAAAATGTCCTACGTATGAAATATGTAGGAATGTATAGGAATCGTAAGGTATTCATATAGGTATATATAGGAATCTCATTGGTTTCCTATAAAACCTGTATGGTTTCTATGGGGAAGCATGTATTCCTAAAGGGTGACTGTAATATTCTCATTCGAATCGTATTGTATCATATAAGTTTCTCGTTATATCATTGGCGTAGGAATGTCCTCGAAAATGGGCTGGGGTAAAATGAGATAGATCAGTTCGGAAATTCGGAAAATTGCTACTTAATTCAAACACTATATGGATATCAATGGCATGCGAAATTAGAAAGTAATTATTCTCATTTCCTCGGTTTTCTAGGCAAAATATTCATCAACTTATTTATCTCTGATGAGTGCAAAATTGATGTGCATTCATCAAAGCAACATTTGTCAGACGATGTTGTGTCGTCTACATCCAGTTCTTGGGCTGCCTGAAATTCAGAATAATATATTCCTGCTGATAAACATCACAACATACGTAGTACAAAACCACCGCGTTTTCTGGGCGTGTCATACATCAAATTACTTTGCTTTGAATATCCTATGGTAATTATTTGTTTGCGTTTGAAATGGGCCACTTTCCCTAACATGCGCAGGTTCCTGTTCAATATTTTCCGTCAGGACAACGGATGATACAGCACCTTTGAAGTTTTCCATTCCTGAATTTTCTTCATATTTTGCTATCTCTCGTTTCTCGATTAAATCAAAAAGAATTCCAGTATGAACACTTCTCTCCCGTGACATGGCGCCGAACCTCCATTCACTGTTCCACCATTAAAATTTTTGAAGACATCATGACTGGGGACTGACTCCAGAACATCCCTTCTTAACAAGGAAAGACTTTAGAGAAGGGACGCGAAGTCTAATAGGATGGGAGATCCGGAACCTGAGACAAAAAAGAACTGCCACCGGGTGCCTGTCAAGTATGCCCTTCAACGGTATTCCTCCTCGGGCGTTAAGCTCGCTTCAAGTTAAATTTACTTTCTGAGCCCCTTTGAATCCCATGAAAGTACTTAAGTCGCAAATTGCCGTGTACACGGTTAAAAAGTGGGGGAGGGGAGGGGGAATACATACCCTTTGCCTCCATCTGGAAAAATGAAGGGGCATTTGGCACATCTGCCCCCCCCCCCTCCCCCGATTTCTATGGGACCTATGAGTTTCCAATGAAAATGTGTACGTATACATAAGACTATCTATAGGATCTACTAGGTTCCTATTAGAATCGCATATGTCCGTGATGGACATCACATCTCTTACAGCAGTGGGGGAAATATAAATTATTGATAGAAAGGCGCTTCTATGATCGCCCCCGCCCCCTCCTCCTCCCCATCCCAGCATCCGTCACTGTGTTGGGGGAGGGGGGGGGGGGAGGAAGGACCCAGGTAACAAACGAATGCAGTAAAAACTCGTTAGCTAGAATTTTTCGGGACAAGGCAAATCGTTTTGAATTACTCGAAGTTCGACATATCGTGAATTGCCTTTACTCGTAAAAAAAAAGTAAAATTCAAATGAATCACGTTATGGAATATAATGGGGCAATTTTTTTCATCCTCAAGAATCTCATTTCAAGAAGCGACGACCTCCTCATTATAATTGGCATTTATTCATGTCTGTGGAAACTCTAATACTCCATATGCAAAATTCATTCATGACAACTCCCTTCATCTGGCACTCTTGAAATCAAATATAGCCTGATGTGAGAGCGATAGACAGACAGGGAGTGTGCTCCAGGTTGCTTCTATTTATGGCTTTTCGGTTTTAATCCTCTGGTTTAATCCTCTCCACTGGCGTCTGTGAAGGATTGTGAAATGGAAATAAATAGATTTAAAAAAAGGAATCACTAATGAACAGGTTGCTTGCCTTACACATAATCACGAAACCGATAGGTCCCACAATAATTTTCTCCCTCCCCCCATCCCGATTTCAAGTTAGCCATGGTAAAATCGTAATCGGGAATGAAAATGTCGTTCAAGATATCGGGAAATTCGAGATAAGCGAATCCGAGTTAAACGAAATATTTCACATGGTATTTTACGGGAATTCCTAGAGACCAAACATTGAACTTCGAGATAAATGCAATTTCAACGGATCGGGATTAGCGTTAACGAGTTTTTACAGTATTCAATCAGCATTAGGTTATGAACCTTAGTTTGAACCTTCCCAGCGTCATGAAGGCATTGTTTCTAACATTAATTTGATATTGAAATGTCTCTCATCCTATATCTCATGTAGATCCTATAGATATAATATCTTCTGGGATAACTCGCGTGAAATTCAACAGTGGATACGGCATCCTCCCAGGAGAATATACCAAGTTACACAGGAAAACGTTCCGTCGTGATGATTGTTCTGACCGCAATCTTGTTGCCGTTACGAAATCAAGAACTTAAGGTGTTTCAACGAAGGATTTCAATCGTAAATGCACCGTGGAATCCCAAGCCCATCTCATTAAGGTACTATGGGAGGATGAAAATCGACCTCCCTGGATCGAAATTCCGCTTCATAATTATTGTAAGGGACCTCAAGAAAGGGCCTTGGAGCCAATTGCTGACTCTCTGCGGTCACGCCCGGGGCCATGATTTGAGGTCAAAGGTCACGATTTACATGCCTCTATTTGAAAATCGGTATCTCCCCAACCCTTGGGTGCAGAAACGTCAAACTTGTGCCATTCTCCTTGGGACATATCGCGCTAAATGTAAAAAATAAATACATGCATGTGACTCTCGTTATCGAGACGCCATGGCGCCATAACTGCGAATTTTTCTGTTTTCGGATTCTGTTTTTTCGCTCTCATTCCTCGTAGAAATTCTTGCAAACTCTAAAAATCGAGTTTCAAAAATATTTCTCACTGCGCTTAAGGATATACCACCGAAGGCGTTTGAAGAGTCGTGTACAGTAGAAAGACCTGAGACTTTCGATCAGCTCGCTCGAGGTCAGACCTCAGTCACTCAATTTTCGTCATCAAGCGAATGGAAAACGTGCAGCGTTTTTTCAACTTGATTGCATCGGCAAAAATATAGGAAGCCAGTCGAATTTGCTTATACCTCTAATCGTGTGGCGGACTAATTTCTTTATTTGCGTAGCGAAATCGTGGAACGCCATTCGTGATTCTTCCTTTCCCTGACTATTCATTTAACAAAAGGAAGCCTATTTTATTTTACACGAACGCTCGGACACGACACGGGAATAATGAACAGTCAAAATATTAATCTGGTCATCCAAACCAGAAAAATGAAGGTTGAGTATCGTAATGCAAGTTGCACTTGTGTTTGTAACTAGACATTCCAATGCGCGATGCGTTCAGGAGGGAGTTTTACAGAAACCCTTACGTAACGACGTGTTGGGCCGTCATGCGTTGCAGTACCAGCTTCATTTATCCGAATTTGCATGTCGCCGTGTGATGCCACGGATTAATTTATTTTGGATCGCATGCAAGGTGAGAGTATTTATTTACCTCGGCCGAGTGATTCCATTATTTCTGTTTCTGTGATGGCCCATGAAGATTTCAAATGTTCTCGCGATCCTAAGGCATCATCATGGACGAGTCCAAAGCACCACAAGACGTGCGAGAAAAAATCCCCCGGATTGGAAATCCCCTTATCTTCCCCACCTCTCCCTTCTCGGACGTGAGGAGTAAAAGGAGGAAAGCAACGAGCAGAGACAGGAGAAAAGAAAGGGGAGGAGAGCGAAGATCCCATCCCCTACGGCAACGTTCTATACCAGGAGATAATTATTAAGCATTTCACTAAGTGGGGAGAATTCACATTTAAACGAAGGAAATGGACACAGCGTGCTTTGAAGAGACAGTGGGAGATGATAGGGAATAAATTCGTTAGCCAAGGGATTCGTAATCAGATCAAGGGGGAAGGGGGAAAGGAAGCAGGACGTAGGGGAGATGGATATCTTGCATGGGAAGGGGGTGTGTCAAGGTCGACCACTCCATGGAAGGAGGAAACAGAGGGTATAAAAGCTGCTGTAAGCTGAGAAATAGAGTAGTCTAGACGTGATCTCTTCGTGACCTCATCACCAGTTCCCTCGCCCTCATCACGACCGAAAGGTAAGTCCTTGGCCTTGTTCATTCTAAATGGTGGGAATATGTTTTGAGTGTGAGTAATTTCCGTGAATTTTCAATGACTTTCCGTAAAATTGCACAATGTTGCCAGGAAGGCGGGAGGTGACGAGAAGCAAGTCCTTGAGAGGTTCTCTTGTGCCACCAATCTAAGCACCATCTCTGGAGGGGACGACGAACTGAGGTCTCTTGCGTTGGCGCCATCTCTTGGTTGGATGAGGAACGAGGACCACACCGCAAGCACCATCGCAGGTGGCATCGGGAGCCTTGCCCATGTGCTCAGTCGTCCGTGGAGGGAAAAATTCCTCATTCTCATAATGATTCTATGGATGGAGATCTTAGCGTTAAAAGGCTTAATTGACTCAAGGAAACGCTCATCGCCGATCTGCTGAGTGACCTTTCTTTCTCGTGATCTTGGTTGCCGTGAACGCGCGATGATGTCGCGTATGGATCCATTTCGCAGCCACTCACGATTTTCTCTGCCGTTACTGATATCCTGAAGCATCACCCTGAAAAGAGATCGCGTTTAATTCACTGGCGCACACTAAAAATCGAGTTTCAAATGTCCGTTTCCACCAAAACGACCTGAGGCTTTCGATTAGCTCGCTTTAGGGATCGACGAAATGGGACCTCGACCACTCAATGTTCGCCATCAAGCGAATCGAAAACGCACAGTATGTTACACTTTTTCAACCGGATGGCATCTGAAAAAAATATGGGAATCCAATCGAATATGCTCTTACCCCGATTCATCTAGCTGACTTTATATGCGTTGTGAAACCTTGGAACGCTAGTTGCGCTATACTTCCTTTTTTGTGACAATTCATTTAATAGAAAGAAGCCTGTTTCTCATTTTACAGGAACGGTCGGACCCGGCACGGGAATAATAAAATATCTCGACATCCAAACCAGAAAAATGAAGGTTGATTATCGACATGCCAATATTGACAAATTTGCCAATCCAATGCGCGATGCGTTCGTTTGCGGGTGTTTAACAAAAACCCTTACGTAACAACGTGTTGGGCCGTCATGCGTTGCAGCAACAGCTTCCCTTATCTGAATTTGCATGTCGTCATATATGAATTTCTTTTGTATCGCGTGCAAGGTGAGAGTATTTATTTAACTCGGCCGAGGCATTCCATTACTTCTGTTTCCGTGATGTTCCATGAAGATTTTAAATGGTCTCGCGATCCTAAGGGATCATCGTGGACGAGTCCAAAGCACGAGAAGATGTGCGAGAGAAATCCCCCCTGATTGAAATCCCCATCTTCCCCACCGCACCCTTCTCGGACGTGAGGAGTAAAAGGAGGAAAGCGACGAGCAGAGACAGGAGAAAAGAACGGGAAGAGAGCGAAGATCCCATCCCCTACGGCAACGTAAACGATTCAGGGGAAGAATTGAGGATTCCATCCAGTGCAACCACACGGAAATGGGGGACTGAACCTTGGCATCTGCTTCGCGATGCCTTCGACCTTCGCTCATTTTCTAATTTTTAACGAGACGAAACAAATCAGTGGAACAATGCGCCATGCCACGTCATATTATATTATGTCCTTTTTTCAACTTGATGTTGTTGCTTCAGATTCGGGCCTTGCATCTTGCATGGCATCTTTCTACATGATGAAGGTTCATTTCCTAAATTGGAGAAATCAAGGTTTTTTATTCCTACACCCTACGACTCCTATACCCAAGCTTACAATGAATCTAGGTTAAGCATCGCATTCATCCTGGCCTAGTCTCTCAGGTTGTCGGGGGATATTTTTCTTCCTCTTTATCTTTTTCCTGAGTCAGCCAAAACCAAAATAAAACAAAAAAGATGAAGCGCAGAATTCATGAGACGATATCGATACACGCCGATGACATCCTATGTATATTCTGAAGGATGGCTGGTTCTGGAAATTTTACCATCTCTGGACAACTGGACTGTCAAAGACAAATTTTGGATGATGCTGCACAAGCCTCATGGGCTATCCAAAACTCGTCCATTTTATGTGCCCTAAGGAAATCACTCAAATGACTTATGGAAGTGGATGGCAGAAAGAGGGATCGATCGTCCCGCAACATGCCCCGAATTAGTTTTCACAGACCATATCAGAAAAATGAATTCCCCCATTCAACGCCATGTCACCAGCCCAAATTTCAAAGTATTTAAAATAAAATATATTCACATTTCAATTGAGGATTTAAATACAGCATAGTGGAGGGAAATTTACTGATCAGGACGAAAGGAATAAGACGCGGAGGGGAAAAGGAAAAATGAATTGGAGGGGATAATTAGGACCATAGTGAGTTTGTGCTGGATGGCAATGGATTCTTCCTTGTCCGATCCATAGCGAACGAGGAGGAGTCATTCAATACCAGGAGATAATTATTAAGCATTTCATTAAGCGGGGAGAATTAAGATTTTAACGAAGGAAATGGGCACAGCGTGCTTTTAAAAGACAGTGGGAGATAAGGGGGAAGAAATTCGTTCGCCAACGGATTCGTAATCAGATCAAGGGGGAAGGGGGAAAGGAAGCCAGAAGTAGGGGAGATGGATATCTTGCATGGGGGGCGGGGGGTGGGGGGAAGGGGGTGTGTCAAGGTCGACCACTCCTTGGAAGGAGGAAAGAGAGGGTATAAAAGCTGCTGTAAGTTGAGAAATAGAGTAGTCCAGACGTGATCTCCTTAATCACCAGTTCCCTCGCTTTCATCACGACCGAAAGGTAAGTCCTTGGCCTTGTTCATTCAAAATGGTGGGAATATGTTTTGAGTGTGAGGAATTTCCGTGAATTTTCAATGACTTTCCGTAAAATTACACAATGCTGCCAGGAAGACTGGAGGTGACGAGAACCAAGTCCTTGAGATGCTTTCTCGTGCCACAAATCCAAGCACCATCGCTGGAGGGGACGACGAACTGAGGACTGTTGCGGCGGCGCCATCTCTTAAGTGGATGAGGAAGTGAGGACCACATTGCAAGCGCCATCGCAGGTGACATCGGGAACTGTCCATGTGCTCAGTCGACCCTTGAGGAAAAAATGTCCTCATTCGCATAATGAATCTATGGATGGAGATCTTAGCATTAAAATTCTTAATTGACTCGAGGAAACCCTCATCGAGTATCTACTGTCTGCTATCGAGTAGTGCTGAGTGACCTTCCTCGTGATCTTGTATGCCGTGAGCGCGCGATGATGGCGCGGATGGATCCATTTCTCGGCCTCTCTCGATTTTCTCTGTCGTAACCGATTTCCTGAAGCATCACCCTGATCATGACCAAAAAATCTCGTTTAATTCACTGGCACACAATCGAGTTTCAAAGGTTTTACTCCATCCGTTTAAGGATATACCACCAAAAAGCACATTATCGCATCGCGCGCATGGTTTATTTAACTAGGCCCAGGAATTCCATTATATAGGAATGTGCAATGGTTTACCTTTACCTCAACCTCAACCCCCCCCCCCCAACCCCTTATCCACCTTCTCTACGGAACTCACTAACCTTGGGTTAACGACAGACTGTCTTCGGGTCAGGCCTAGTTTCGACCTTGTTTCGTTCAAAAACTCAATCCTCGGCCTACGGACCAGTTTAGGTTGATATGGATTAATCACTCGTCTTCGGGACACCTCATTGGGGTCTTAAAACGTTCGCAGGCCGTTTCAGTCTCTCATGGCCCACTTAACAGTGAACGAGTTAGAACGAATATAGGTCTTTTTCGAGTTTCATCAGCTATTTCAGTGCGGTCGGGGAACATTAGGCCTATCCAGAGTTCCCCGAATCGTCTCGACTCGTTCCGAGAAAAACGTGCCTTAATGTTAATTTAAGGATGTCCGATGAGATATATCTCCGTATTCCACCAAATCCATCGGCCACTGCAAATCACCGCTTCGATCTCAACTCACCCCATGAATTCAGCACAGTAATGTTTCCTAAATTACAAAGAGAAGATCCAGACAACGATACTAAGGCCATGAATCTGACATAACGCCGGCAAGATATCCGGCAACACTGGAGGACGGGACCGGAGCCATTGCACTAATTAACTGCATCTAATTTCATTTTTTTTAAATGGCGAAGAAAGCAAAAAAAAGGGACTTTTTGTCAACTCCAGGGCAATAACTTTGATTCACTTTCTTCGAAAACTGCCTAGGAGTGGCTACCCAGGTGGGTGGAGAAAAAAATACCGGAACGAAATTCACATCTCCCAAAAGCGAGATTCAGTAATCTCCATAACTCCAGGGAGATGGAGCTTCAAATTTGCCGGAGCGATTCTGTGTTGAGAGAGGAAGAAGTATGCCAAATTTAATTCCTGTTCTTGCTCTCAGAGAGGAATACCAGACAGTTGAATTTTGTCGCCGTTAGGGGTGGAAGAAAGGTGAGGCCCATTGATTTGTGTCATTGTCCATGGAGATTTCAAATGTTCTCGCGATCCTAAGGGATCATCGTGGACGAGTCCAAAGCAAGGAGCAGGACGAGAGGAAGAGATGTGTGAGAAATATTCCCATGGAATGGAAATCCCCATATCCTCAACCCCCCTCCCTCCTTCCTTCTCCCTTCTCGGACGTGAGCAATAAAAGGAGGAAAGCGACGAGCAGAAACTGGAGAAAAGAAATGGAAGAAAGCGACGATCCCATCCCCTACGGCAAGGTAAAGCATTCCTTGTCCATAGCAGACAGAACGGCGGAGAAAGGAAGGACAGAAGGTGTCGACTCGCCGCGACTCCTCGAATAAGGGCATCACGCCTATTAGAGGAGAAACCGAGAAACTGTGGAAGAAATGAGGAAACATGGGTTCCATCTAGCGCAACCACACGGAAATGGGCGGCAGAGCGGTCTCTCCTTTGCGATGCCTTCGACCTTGAAGGGCATGCTTCGCTTCACTTCTAACTTTGAAACGAGAGAAATGTCCCAAACCCGAGGTGCCCTAAGTGGGTGGGTCAATAAAGAAAACCAAGGCGTTTTATGGATGGCATCTGACGTTAAACCGCGAGGCAGGCTGGCTCATCACGAAGAAATATCCGTCTTTTTCGTTTCACTTCTTGACTGAATTCGGCACAGAAGCTGAAGAGAGCCCTGGAGATAATGAAGATGAGATGAAGTTCTGAAATTCTTTCTCTCAGGTGATGCAAAAAGGAACGGTCGTGGAAGATCGCAGACCATTCCGACCATTTAGTGAGTAATTTCCTAAAAACAACATTCCCCGTGAAACATATCAGTGGAACAATAATCCATTTGATGGTTATTCATATTATGACATTTTTTCAACTTGATGTTGTTACTTCAGATTGTTGTTGCTTCGGGCATTGAGATCATTAACTCTCTGGCAGGGCATCTTTCTAAATGATGAAGGTACATTTCCTAAATTGGAGAAATCAAGGTTTTGTGGCAATTTCGTCTCACCCCTGTGTTTCCAACAAGTTTCCAGTAGATAATTCACGTTTGCTTAGAATTTCGAGCCTTCTGTCGATGGAGTTCACGCGCGAAATCCATTCATGTCGAAGCCATGCGAGGCGAGCAAGTGCGGCAACGTGCCACGTTGCTCAGCTGATGCTTCACTGAAACCAACTCCACCAATCGCTGCTCGTTCCGGATAGCACGACGGGATGAATTTAATTTGGTAAATATCCTGGTACGATCATCATCATGGAAAACCATCTGAATCATTTTCCCAACTTTTGACAAAGAATGATATTCTCATGAGCTTCTATGGCTTCAGCGAGGTTTGATATCCGCTACAAATAAATTTCATACAAAACCAAAGGTCAGCCGCAAGAACGTCATGTAGCAAATGGTAGTTATTTTCTCCACACAATCTTTTCATATCGCCTCCATATGTCTTGAGACTCTTCTGCTCACGGCTTCATGCATTCGAGAGGCACTGCAGTGAGCGATGCCTTCGTCACCTTAGGAGAATCACGCCAACTCTCGTCTCCTCATCCATCCTGAAGATGGAGAGACGAGAGCGAATCTCCTTTTTGTATGAAGCCTGAATATGAATGTTCATAGAACCATTTTCTCTCTTTGAAACATCCAATTTTCACCCATAGTTTAAGGCACGCCTGAATTGAACTAATAGAATTGGATAGCTCTAAATTTTAGATGTTTAAGCAGTCAATACAACGTTCCCATGGACATTCATGGAACGCTGGTAGTTTCTAAAATGTATTCCTTGAACACGTTTGGGTGCTACTTGGTGGTAGTCTCTGAAGATCATGGTGACTCCTTCATCGACAACAGAGCATTTCGTTTCTTCCGGTTTGCAACTGGTTTACCTGGCACTAGTTTATCTGTTATAGAATATGAAGAATATGAATGGGATAGAATATGAAGCCTGGATAAGCTTTTGAAGCACAATCATTTCTCCTACTTTAGACGACGAAAAATATTCTTATCAGCTTCTATGGCTTCAGCGAGGTGTGATGTCCGGTAAGCAAAAGTTCCATATAAACCAAAGGTCACCAAGTCGAGAACGTCATGTAACAAATGGTGGCGATTTTCTCCTCCCAATCTCTTCGTTTCTCCATACATCTTTAGGAGTGTGGCATCGGAATTGCTGAATGGCACTCAAGACTTTGCTTGCCTGCTGTCTTGTAAGCTGTCCATCATCAGCGTCCGAGATGGGGCCTATCAAGTATGTCTTTCCAACACGACAAAGCACAGGCGAAAACAAGAAAGAAATGCGTCGATCTTCATTTCCACAACATTTTCTCCACTCGATTTGGCCCAGCGACTTTTTCTCATACATCTTATTAAAGAAAAACCCATGAATTTCGATTTGAGAGCTCAGACGACATTATGAATCTTCAGGGGAAAAATGTTGTTAACCTTGTCGAAGAAGACTGATACAACTGATTACTGGCTTGAGGAAAGGCTAAATGCGAGGGTAAACACACTTCTTCCCTTGTGAAAGGGAGAGAAGAAACAAAAATATAGATCGAACATGATGCGGATGGCATCTATTTAAAGTTAAGTAAAATGTTTCGCGTCTGCGCTGCAATAAAACAATAATGCTTTTGTTTGCAATTTTAATGCGAAGCGCATTGTTGGCGAGTGTATCAGACATATTGAAGGAAAGAAAAATGACCTGGTTAATGAACGCAGAAGCTAGTGACGATGAATACTTGATGTGAAGTCACTGTGAAGAAGTGACGTCACAAACTGAAGGCCACTCTCCCCTATATAGACTCCACCCCATCACAGGATTGAAATCACTTCCCTTGCCACATCGTTCGATAGAGCCACCAAGCTTGCACCCGCTTCAGATTCCCTGGGGTTCCTTGACAAGAGAGGTAAGTGCCTTCGAAAGGTCTCTGTCTCGTTTTCCTAGGCGGTTCTTCGACCGTAGAAAGGTCTATTATCGGCTTGTTGTGAGACAGAACAGGCATGAACATTTTGCGATTTCTTCATTAAAGCTTATTTTTCGCGATAGGTACAAGGAAATTCCTTGGTCACAATGTATATTTCGTAATATCGTAATTCCTTGCATTTTTTATGGTTTGCACAGGGATATGCTGGGTCTGAAAAAATTATACATTTTTCGTTAAAACGTACTTCCGTATAATGAACTTTGCAATTCTGTTTTTCTTTTTTTGTTGCTAACGAGTTTTTTTGCCCTTCGAGTAAAGAAACTTGTTATGGTCACGCCTTCGACGCTTCATTGTCCGGAATGATAATTCATTGATTAATTTATTTTCGAAGTGGCGAAAACATATTAAAAGTATGTACATATCGAAACATGAAGCATGAGGGGACGAAACGATATTTTAATGCAAATAATTACTCGATGATTTATTGCTTGCCTAACTTCAAACCTCTTCATAATCTGCCCTGGGGGGCTTGCTTGAAAAGGATCTGCACTCAACAATCGAGCAGGTGCTTCTGCTCCAAGTTTCAACTTTCTACAGTTCTTTCTTTCGTTGGATCGAAAGAGATTCGGGAAAATGGGCCTTCGCGGAAATGTATTCCCCGATTGAGACAAAATATGAAGCATTGCTTCACTTTGGGAATATGACAAACGCTTTAAACTGAGCTGCTACATTGCCAGCCAAATTATCATTCAAGATGCTAGTTAGATGAGGGCTGACACAACACTGCCAAACAGTCTAATCTATCTGTCCATTGAATGAAAATATTTTTTGTGATATTGACAAACTCACAAAAAAATCAGTTCCACGACCTCTTCCATATATATATATATTTTTTTATTATACTGAAATCAGTACTCGGAGAACTACCTTTCTACCAAGTCTCAGCATTATCCGTCTGACCTATTCGCTGATGCAAATATATATTTTGAAAACCCGACCTAGCCAAAAGTTGTGCCATGAGGGTATGCATCAGAATATTAAAAACTTTTCTGAACTGAACATCACCTATGTTATGCGGGTGTCAAGTTTCACCTTTCATTATGCTAGGAGAAAAAAAAAATTTTTTGAAGCGTCCCCCCCGAACGGAAACTTGCCATTTTTCCTAAACTCCATGTCTCAGTCACGTTCATGCAAAGTTTCAGCTTTCCGTCTTTCCGTTTGACGGAAACGAAAAAATTACTTGAAAGCATCTACCTCTGAAATTTTTGTCCCCAGGATTTATGTATTTTGTTGATTTCTCCCTCTTTCAGAAATGTGGATGAGACTGTTTGCCTTTGTGGCATTAGTCACTGCTCTGACGGCTGACTCGGATGACAAGATGCAAGGTTCTGATGACCATAATCCACTTCAAACTGAAGCCCAATCGTATCCAGGAAAACCAGTCCGAGAGTTGTCAAAAGCAGATTCTCAAAACCCAGATCTATTATCAGTCCTATTCACAAATGAACGGATATACAAAGGTCATTACTTATTATCACCTAACGGACATTGGCAGGCTATTTTTCAAACGGATGGAAATTTCGTGATCTACCCAATGCTTCATGGACGACCGGGACAACCTATTTGGAACACTAACACTTATGGAAAGCAAGGGCATTTTATTGTATTTCAAGAAGACGGGCACCTTGTTATGTACAGTCAGGACAGCATACCAGTGTGGTATTCCGGTATCTACCGCAACAATTTGTGTCGTCGTCCTGGAAGCTGTGTTCTTCGGATGCAAGACGACGGGAATTTAGTTGCGTATTATGATATCGTACCCTTCTGGGCGTCCCGTGGTTGTGCACAATTGTCGCCCTAACACTCTAACATGACTCAGGGAATTCAGCAGTATATTGGAGGATTGCCGAATAGATGAAATGTCCTTCCCTGTCATCGCGTGTTGTATGCTTGTCCCTCTTCATTCCTACGCCTCCTCGTCCTGCCTATCCAAGGAAGTGACGAACGCCTCCGCCTAACTTCATCTCGGAATATTCATATATTGGACATTCCATCGGAGTTCGTCATTCCGATTCTCGATTGTATAATTTTTTTCTGTCGGTGCTTCTCTTTGATCTACAGCAAATCATCATTCCTGCTTTCGTTGCTCCGGAAGGCTCCATGCCTTCGCCTATGGACTCCCCACACAACATTTTTAGTTATGATTATCTGCTTTTGTTTTGCGTTTTGTGCATATCTCTTTCAATACTACCTGATCTTTCTGACAAGAAAGTGTCTTGTGTCAATATTAATGAAGATTGTTACCTGCTACTCAGTTCCCTTGGACTCCTTAACGAAGAATGAAACGAGCTAGATGATGAGCAAAGGACACTGTCTTCAGAGCTTTTATGCTTGATCTATCTCTCAAATGGACTTGATTAATTCCACTCGGGAACTTGTCATCACATTCTCTCCATAGGCCTTGCTACTGTACATCGTGGAAAATAAATTCATAGTGATAATCGCCTGGGAAATCCCCTGGAATTCGGATTATTTGAGTCCCATAAAGAAATATGCCCTTATTCCTTTTGAAAACCAAGTACGAAACTGTGTAGACTCTATCCAAATGGAGGTTCTGGAAAGAGACGTGCTCGCATGTTCTGTCTTTTGTTTCACTAGGTCGATAGAAGAATACTACTTCTTTCTATCGAAGGAATTAGACGTGCAATCCAGCGACATATGTGGGGTGGGGCCATAAATTGTGCAAACCCCCGCAGTACTGGTATTAATAATGCATGCCTTCCTACCATGGAAAAACCCCTAATCGGTTTTTTATTTACACCGAAATGCTGCGCTAATGCTAACCTCGGTCGCCTTTTCCGTCGTAATGCCTGGATTTCGAAACCCAAAATATCCTCTCCGAATCCTATAGGCGAGGAGACCAATAAGACCTTATAGGGAATCTATAGCATTCTAAAGGATCCTATAGGTTTTTCATGTTTCAAAAACCATTGGAAAAATATTGGAAAATAGGTTTCCAATAAGAAATAACTATAGGTTTCCTATAGGAAATTTCCGTCATGGACGTTAAGTTTTGAAGCGAGTGCCTGAAATTCGCTCTAAAGGACACCACCAATGTGTTCTATTGGAAAATACGTTACGGTGAAGGACGTTTGGCATGTATGCTGTAGGAAATTTTTAGATATATATATATTTAGATTTAGATATATACTTTAGATATATTTAGATATATAAATTTTAGAATAGATTATCTGGCCGATGATGTGCTTCTGCAATTAGAATGACGTCATTTCTCTGTGATCTTTGTTGTTCATAAAATATGTTTACCGTTTTGCCGATAATACAATGAGGACTTATCCTCTTGTCCTCAACTTCTACTCAAATAACTTATACAATCTAGGCTCGGTTGTTGAGTGGATGTGTATCAGCGGGTGTTTCAGCAGTGATGAACCAGGATCAAGCCAAAATTGATTTATTCTATCGAAAGTCTCAGGAGTTTTTGGTGGTAACGGAAGGAGTAAAACTTTTGAAACTCGACTTTTAGTGTGTGCCAGTGAATTAAACGAGGCCTTTTCTCAGGGTGATGTGACAGGAAATCGGTTACGATAGAGAAAACCGGGAGTGGCCGAGAAAAGGATCCATCCATCGCGCGCTCACGGCACCCAAGATCACGAGAAAGAGAGGTCAATCAGCAGATACTCGATGAGCGTTCCCGCGAGTCAATTAAGGATTTTAACGCATGCGCCTAGATCTCCATCCACGGAATCATTATGCGAATGAGGAATTTTCAAGGGATGACTGAGCACATGCCAATCACATGCACCTGAGCACAGGTTCCCAATGCCACCTGCGTTTGCGGTGTAGGCCTCACTTCCTCATCCTATCAAGAGATAGCGCCAACGCAATAGTCCTCAGTTCGTCGTCCCCTCCAGCGATGGTGTTGGATTGGTGGCACGAGAGAGCCGCTCAAGGATTAGGTTCTCGTCATCTCCCGTCTTCCTGGCAACATTTTACGGAAAGTCATTGAAAATTCACAGAAATTCCTCACACTCAAAACATATTCCCACCATTTAGAAAGAATGAACAAGACTTACCTTTCCGTCGTGATGAAGGCGAGGGAACTGGTGATGGAGGAGATCACGACTGGACTACTCTATTTCTCAGCTTACAGCAGCTTTTATAACCTCTGTTTCCTCCTTCCATGGAGTGGTCGACCTTGACACCCCCCCCCCCCCCCCCCCCATGCAAGATATCCATCTCCCCTACTTCAGGCTTAATTTCCCCCTTCCCCCTTGATCTGATTACAAGTCCGTTGGCGAGCGAATTTCTTCCCTCTCGTCTCCCACTGTCTCTTCAAAGCACGCTGTGCCCATTTCCTCCATTAAAATTTGAATTCTCCCCACTTAGTGAAATGCTTAATAATTATCTTCTGGTATTGAATGACTCCTTGTTCGCCATGGATCGGACAATGAAGAATCCATTGAAATCAGCAATTCTATCCAGCACAAACTCACTGTGGTCCTGTTCATCCCCTCCAATTCATTTTTCCTTTTCCCCTCTGTGTCTTCATCCTCTCGTCCTGATCATTAAATAATCAATAATCAATAATCAATTGGAAGGAAAATACATTTTCTTTTAATTACTTTGAAATTTGGGCTGGTGACATGGCGTTGAAAGGCGGAATTCAATTTTCTGATATGGTCTGTGGAAACTATTTTGGGGCATGTTGCGGGAGGATCGATCCCTTTTTCTTCCATCCACTTCCAAAAGTCATTTGAATGATTTACTAAGGGCACATGAACTGGACGAATTTTGGAATCTAGGAATTTTTGGAATTTAGGAATCGTAAGGTGTTCATATAGGAATATATAGGAATCTCATTGGTTTCCTATAAAACCTATATGGTTTCTATGGGAAAGCATGTATTCCTTAAGGGAGACCGTAATATTCTCATTCGAATCGTATTGTATCATATAAGTTTCTCATTGGAACTATCATAGGCGTTGGAATGTCCTCGAAAGTGGGCTGTGGTAAAATGAGATAGATCAGTTCCGAAACTCGGAAAATTGCTACTTAATTCAAACACGATATATATATCAATGGCATGCGAAATTAGAATGTAATTATTCTCATTTCCTCGGTTTTCTAGGCAAAATATTCATCAACTTATTTATCTCTGATGAGTGCAAAATTGATGTGCCTACATCAAAGCAACATTTGTCAAACGATGTTGTGTCGTCTACATCCAGTTCTTGGGCTGCCTGAAATTCAGAATAATATATTTCTGCTGATTAACATCACAACATATGTAGTACAAAACCACTGCGTTTTCTGGGCGTGTCATACATCAAATTACTTTGCATTGGTTCAAGTTCAAGCTCGGTTCAAGTTAAATTTACTTGCTGAACCCCTTTGAATCCCACAAAAGTTCTTAAGTCGCAAATTGCCGTGTATACGGTTAAAAAGAGGGGGAGGGGTGGGGGAAAAGATACCCTTTGCCCCCAACTGGAAATATGAAGGGGCATTTGGCACATCTGCCCCCCCCCCCCCCCCCGATTTCTACGCCCTTGGGACCTATGAGTTTCCAATGAAAATGTGTACGTATACATAAGGCTATCTATAGGATCTACTAGGTTCTTATAAGAATCGCATATGTCCGTGATGGACATCACATCTCTTAGAGCAGTGGGGGAAATAGAAATTATTCATAGAAAGGCGGTTCTATAATCGGCCCCGCCCCCTCCTCCTCCCCATGCCTGCATCCGTCACTGTGTTGGGGGGGGGGGGAAGGAAGGACCCAGGTAACAAAGGAATACAGTAAAAACTCATTAGCTCGAATTTCTTGGGACAAGGCAAATCGTTTCAAGTTACACGAAATTCGACATATCAGCAATTGCCTCTACTCGTAAAAAAAATTAAAAATAAAATTCAAATGAATCACGTTATGGAATATAATGGGCAATTTTTTTCGTCCTCAAGAATCTCATTTCAAGAAGCGACGACCTCCTCATTATAATTAGCATTTATTCATGTCTGTGGAAACTCTAATACTCCATATGCAAAATCCATTCATCACAACTCCCTTCATCCGGAACTCTTGAAATCAAATATGTCCTGATGTGAGAGCGATAGACAGACACGGAGTGTGCTCGAGGTTGCTTTTATTTATAGCTTTTCGGTTTTAATCCTCTGGTTTAATCCTCTCCACTGGCGTCTGTGAAGGAGGAAGAAATGGAAATAAATAGATTTAAAAAAAGGAATCACTAATGTACAGGTTGCTTGCCTTCCACATAATCACGAAACCGATAGGTCCCACGATAACTTTCTCACTCCCCCCATCCCGATTTCAAGTTAGCCATGGTAAAATCGTAATCGGGAATGGAAGAGATCGTTCAAGATATCGGGAAATTCGAGATAAGCGAATCCGAGTTAAACGAAATATTTCACATGGTATTTTACGGGATTTCCTAGGGACCAAACATTAAGCTTCCAGATAAACGCAACTTCGACTCATCGGGATCAGTGTTAACGAGTTTTTACAATATTCAATCAGTATTAGGTTATGAACGTTAGTTTGAACCTTCCCAGAGTCATGAAGGCATTGTTTCTAATATTAATTCGATATTGAAATGTCTCTCATCTATAGTCTCATGTAGATCCGATGGATATAATATCTTCTGGGATGACTCCCGTGAAATTCAACAGTGGATACGGCATCCTCCCAGGAGAATATACTAAGTTACACAGGAAAACGTTCCGCCGTGATGATTGTTCTGACCGGAATCTTGTTGCCGTTACGAAATCAAGAACTTAAGGTGTTTCAACGAAGGATTTAAATCGTAAATGCACCGTGGAATGCCGAGCCCATCTCATTAAACGCGAAGGAAGAGTAGGGAAGATATCCACTTCAGGTTAAGCGATGTCGGACTAAGAGAATGGTGTACCCGGTTCCTTCCGATGTTCGCTGCATACCTATTGCAAGTCACACTGGAAATCCTAAACAAAAATTGAAAATTGACTTTCGCCCCCGAATGGGTTGCAGATGTTTAGAAATTGATTGAAATATATTGAAAACATTCCCACCCTCGCGGCGCGAGATGTGACACAACCAACTGGAACGTTCGTCACACTGCTTGATACAGAAATTTCATTTTGCCTTCGGCCCTGAGGACCTCCGAATCAGCAGCAATTACTTGAAAGAAGTTGCTGCATGTTAGCGATCTAAAATTATGTTTGATCTGGTCTCATAAAGAGGTCCAAAAGTGGAGAGGCTCTCTGAATAAACTAACCTTTTCGCGTCCGGGAAACTCCCAAAGGGTGCTGGTCAGGTGCATCCTCCGATGTGATCGCCGTGTAAATGCACTGTATGGGTATCGCGGTGAGAGCTTATATTCTTCGGAGTGGGCTTTAAAAGGTCTTGGGATTGTTCTTCGTGGCGTCGATAGTTCCTGGACCTCTGGGTTCGCCGACTTCATTTCGAGCTGTCTGGAAATATCAATCCGTGCAGTTCTCCAGAGGGCAGAACAATTTAGTTGCAAATTTATTAGGATTTATTGGTACTCCAATTACTCTGGAGTTTTAATAATAGTAAAAATTGCTATTCTTGTATGCTTTGTGAAAACTCTGCCGTTGAAATATTTGACTTCTTACTGGAATATCATTGGTATTACATATTTCCTAGGAACCCTAATAACATCCCCTCCCTAAAAGAAAAATAATTTATATCGACGAAAATCCCCGAATGATATCCCCGAATTCCGAAGCTGCGTCCCCCGGTAGGAGTGCTGACAAACTAGTCACCGACGTCGCGCGATTTTACGAGTGAGACATGGTCTTGAAGGAGCGCGCAGACGCCATGACTCTTGACCTCTTCTTGTTTTGCTTGAGCCACTCGGCCTCTGATCCCGATGAATGATTCCATCGACACAGAAGTCGCCTCTCCGTTCCCCCTCCTTCGTCTGCCTTCCCCTGAGCCAATTTGCGAACGAGTCCCGGACTGGGGACTGGTCGGATCCGGATCGTCGGCCGGCTTCCGTGTGGGACCCCTTCCTCTTGATTTTCAGCGTCGACGACAGATGTACCCAAACGAGAATCTCTTCCCGTATGATATTTTAGCGGAATGGGTTACCCGAGTCGAATACATTCTCATTTCGCGCCTGTGTTCATGGACGCCGGTCCTCCGTATTTCTGACCGCCCAGTTGGCGAGACGACTCGCGAAAACGCTCTTCGAGTATCAGCTATTTAAGTGACCTTTCTTTCTCGTGATCTTGGGTGCCGAGTGCGCGTGATGATGGCGCGGATGAATCCATTTCTCGGCCACTCTCGATTTTCTCTGCCGTAACCGATTTCCTGAAGCATCACCCTGAGAATAGATCTCGTTTAATTCACTTGCAAACTCTAAAAATCGAGTTTCAAAAATATTTCTCACTGCGCTTAAGGATATACCACCGAAGGCGTTTGAAGAGTCGTGTACAGTAGAAAGACCTGAGACTTTCGATCAGCTCGCTCGAGGTCGGACCTCAGTCACTCAATTTTCGTCATCAAGCGAATCGAAAACGTGCAGCATTTTTTCAACTGGATGGCATCGGCAAAAATATAGGAAGCTAGTCGAATTTGCTTCTACCTCTAATCGTGTGGCGGACTAATTTCTTTATTTGCGTAGTGAAACCGTGGAACGCCAGTCGTGATTCTTCCTTTCCCTGACTATTCATTTAACAAAAGGAAGCCTATTTTATTTTACACGAACGCTCGGACCCGACACGGGAATAATGAACGGTAAAAATATTAATCTGGACATCCAAACCAGAAAAATGAAGGTTGAGTATCTGTAATGCAACTTGCAATTGTGTTTGTAACTAGACATTCCAATGCGCGATGCGTTCAGCAGGGAGTTTTATAGAAACCCTTACGTAACGACGTGCTGGGCCGTCATGCGTTGCAGTACCAGCTTCGTTTATCCGAATTTGCAAGTCGCCGTGTGATGCCACGGATTAATTTATTTTGGATCGCGTGCAAGGTGAGAGTATTTATTTACCTCGGCCGAGTGATTCCATTATTTCTGTTTCTGTGATGGCCCATGAAGATTTCAAATGTTCTCGCGATCCTAAGGCATCATCGTGGACGAGTCCAAAGCACGAAAAGAAGTGCGAGAAAAATCCCCCCGGATTGGAAATCCCCTTATCTTCCCCATCTCTCTCTTCTCGGACGTGAGGAGTAAAAGGAGGAAAGCGACGAGCAGAGACAGGAGAAAAGAAAGGGGAGGAGAGCGAAGAACCCATCCCCTAGGGCAACGTTCAATACCAGGAGATAATTATTAAGCATTTCACTAAGTGGGGAGTATTCACATTTAAACATAAAAGGAAATGGACAGAGCGTGCTTTGAAGAGACAGTGGGAGATGATAGGGAAGAAATTCGTTTGCCAACAGACTCGTAATCAGATCAAGGGAGAAGGGGGAAAGGAAGCCTGAAGTAGGGGAGATGGATATCTTGCATGGGGGGGGGAAGAGGGTGTGTCAAGGTCGACCACTCCATGGAAGGAGGAAAGAGAGGGTATAAAAGCTGATGTAAGCTGAGAAATAGAGTAGTCTAGACTTGATCTCTTCGTGACCTCATCACCCGTTCCCTCGCCTTCATCACGACCGAAAGGTATGTCCTTGGCCTTGTTCATTGTAAATGGTGGGAATATGTTTTGAGTGTGAGGAATTTCCGTGAATTTTCAATGACTTTCCGTAAAATTACACAATGTTGCCAGGAAGACGGGAGGTGACGAGAACCAAGTCCATGAGATGCTCTCTCGTGCCACCAATCCAAGCACCATCGCTGGAGGGGACGACGAACTGAGGACTATTGCGTTGGCGCCATTTCTTGATTGGATGAGGAAGTGAGGACCACACCGCAACCGCCATCGCCGGTGGCATCGGGAGCCTTGCCCATGTGCTCAGTCCTCCGTGGAGGGAAAAATTCCTCATTCTCATAATGATTCTATGGATGGAGATCTTAGCGTTAAAAGACTGAATTGACTCAAGGAAACGCCAAGTGACCTTTCTTTCTCGTGATCTTGGTTGCCGTGAACGCGCGATGATGTCGCGGATGGATCCATTTCGCAACCACTCACGATTTTCTCTGCCGTTACTGATTTCCTGAAGCATCACCCTGAAAAGAGATCGCGTTTAATTCACTGGCACACACTAAAAATCGAGTTTCAAATGTCCGTTTCCACCAAAAAGACCTAAGGCTTTCGATTAGCTCACTTTAGGGATCGACGAAATGCGACATCGGCCACTCAATGTTCGCTATGAAGCGAATCGAAAACGCACAGTTTGTTACACTTTTTCAACCGGATGGCATCTGAAAAAAATGTGGGAAACCAATCGAATATGCTTATACCCCGATTCAGGTGGCTGACTTCATATGCGTTGTGAAACCTTGGAAAGCTAGTTGTGCTATACTTCCTTTTTTGTGACAATTCATTTAATAGAAAGAAGTCTGTTTCTCATTTTACACGAACGGTTTGACCCGACAAGCGAATACTAAAATATCTCGACATCCAAACCAGAAAAATGAAGATTGAATATCGACATGCAATCGTTTGCCAATCTTGCCAAATTTGCTAATCCAATGCGCGATGCGTTCGTTTGCGGGAGTTTAACGTAACGACGTGTTGGGCCGTCATGTATTGCCGCAACAGCTTCCTTTATCCGAATTTGCATGTCGTCATGTATGAATTTATTTTGTATCGCCTGCAAGGTGAGAGTATTTATTTAACTCGGCCATTACTTCTGTTTCTGTGATGTTCCATGAAGATTTCAAATGGTCTCGCGATCCTAAGGGATCATCGTGGACGAGTCCAAAGCACGACAAGATGGGCGAGAAAAATCCCCCCGAATTGGAAATCTCCGTATCTTCTCCACCTCTCCCTTCTCGGACCTGAGGAGAGGAGGAAAGCGACGAGCAGACAGGAGAAAAGAACGGGAAGAGAACGAAGATCCCATCCCCTACGGCAACGTAAACGATTCAGGGGAAGAATTGAGGATTCCATCCAGTGCAACCACACGGAAATGGGGGACAGAACCGTGGCATCTGCTTCGCGACGCCTTCGACCTTGAATGGCATACTTCGCTCATTTTCTACTTTTTAACGAGACGAAACAAATCAGTGGAACAATGCGCCATGCCACGTCATATTATATTATGTCCTTTTTTCAACTTGATGTTGTTGCTTCAGATTCGGGCCTTGCATCTTGCATGGCATCTTTCTACATGATGAAGGCTCACTTAGTAAATTGGAGAAATCAAGGAGAAATTATTCCTACACCCTACGACTCCTACACCCAAGCCTACAATGAGTCTAGGTTAAGCATCTCATTCATCCTGGCCTATTCTCTCAGGTTGTCGGGGGATATTTTTCTTCCTCTTTATCTGTTTCCTGAGTCAGCCAAAACCAAAATAAAGCAAATGATAATGCCGATAGTCGATACAATACTATTCCCGCGGGTGATGAGAACGACGAGCACTTCTCAGTGCAACTATGAAGTCTGGGCTTTCATGAGAAATCAAGCGTAGGAAACTGGTGCCGTACGGTAGCAGTTACCTATACTGTACAGACAGGGCGCCAGCGCAGACTCCGAGAAATAACAGTAACAATACATGAAACGAATCCAAAGCAACAAAAAAATTAAGTAAAGGATCTCTCCCAGTCGAAAGTGATGTCGGAGAGTAATATCTTCTGGGATGACTCCAGTGGAATTCAACAGTGGATACGGCATCCTCCCAGGAGAATTTACCAAGTTACACAGGAAAAAGTTCCCACGTGATGATTGTTCTGACCGCAATCTTGTTACCGTTACGAAATCAAGAACTTCAGGTGTTGCAACGAAGGATTTCAATCGTAAATGCACTATGGAATGCCGAGCCCATCTCATTCAACGCGAAGGAAGAGTAGGGAAGATATCCCCTTCAGGTTATTAAGCAATGTTGGACTAAGAGAATGTTGTACCCGGTTCCTTCCGACGTTCGCTGCATACATATTGCCAGTCACACTGGAAATCCTGATTGACATTGGCCCCGGAATGGGTAGCAGATATTTAGAAACTGATTGAAATATATTGAAAACATTCAATGTTTTTCTCTTCTCTTTCCCGAAGGAAGTAGACTTGCGATCCAGCGACATATATGGGGCAGGACCTATAGGATCCTATAGGTTTTTCGTGTTTCAAACCCTATAGGAAAGTCTATAGGTTTCTTGTAAGAAAAAACTATAGGTTTTCTATAGGACATTTCCGTAAGGGCGAGCCTCATGAAGCCTCATGTATGTCATGAGAACTCATGACACATTTTTGGCAGGGTTTGCTTAATTTGTAGGAAATGAAGAACCGTTAACTGAGTGCCCATGTAAATGGGTGATTTGAGGAACATTTTCGTTTAATAGAGACAATATAATCGATTCAGAAAGTATCGTCAAGTTCGCAACTAAATTTTAAACCCGTGATCATATTCAAGGTAGCAACAATGTTCCCCCATAGAAGAGTCACGCCGAGTTCCTGCCAATACGTGATATGGGGTGTGACAGGGTGGGAACGACGGATCACATGCTGAATTCCCATGCCTGTGTCCGAAGATTCATGTGATCGCAAGAACGAGTCACACCCCAGCTCGCTCCCAATCCCTTGTGACTTAGGGTGTGACAGGGTGGGAGCAGGAGGATCATATGGCTGATCGCATGCCTCTCACATGTGACACAGCATGTGATCGGGGTGATTTTTCCGTAAGGGACATAGCGAAATCTGGTAAATTTTCGACTAGTTTCGACTAGGATCATGGAGTCCCGTGAATAAATATGCCCTTCTTCCTTTTGAAAATCACGTACGAAACTGAGTAGACTGTATCCAAATCGAGTTTCAGTAAAGAGACGTGCTTGCAGGTTCTGTATTCTATTTCCTTAGGTCGAGAGAAGAATACTACTTCTCTTTCCCGAAGGAAGTAGACTTGCAATCCAGCGGCATATGTGGGGCGGGGCCATAAATTGTGCAGACCCCTGCAGTACTGGTATTAAAAATGTAAGTGTTCCTACCAATGAAAAATCGTGATCTTGGAAGGATGGATCCATTTCTCGGCGACTCTGGATTTTCTCTGCCGTAACTGTAGCATCACCATGAAAAAAGATATCGTTTAATTCACTGTCACACACTAAAAATCGAGTTTCAAAAGTTTTACTCTTTCCGTTTAAGGATATACAACCAAAAATAAATGAGACTTTCGATTAGATAGCTCGCGGGATTGACGAGATGGTACCAAGGCCATTTTCGCCATCAAGCGAATCTAAAACGCGCAATATGTTCCACTTTTTCAACCGTATTTGAAACTTGCCATTCCAATGCGCGATGCGTTCGTTTGCGGGAGTTTAACAGAAAGTCTTACGTACCGATGCGTTGTTCCGTCATGCGTTGCAGCAACAGTTTCGTTCATCCGAATTTGCACGTCGCCGTGTGATGCCACGTGTTGAATTTATTTTGCATCGCGCGCATTGTGAGATTATGTACTTAAGTAGGCCCAGGGATTCCATTAATGAATGTACAATGGTTTACCTTTCTTCAACCTCAACCCCCCCCCCCCCCCATCCACGTTCTCTATTCTTAACGATAAACTGTCTTCGGGTCAGGCCTAGTTTCGACCTTGTTTCGTTCAAAATAAACTCAATCCTCGTCCTACGGACCAATTAGGTTGATATAGATTGATATCACTCGTCTTCGGGACACCTCATTCAGGACTTAAAACGCTATGCCGATCGCAGGCCTTTTCAGTCTCTCATGGCCCACTTAACAGAGAACGTGTAATGTTCGATCGAATTTCTTTTTCGAGTTTCATGAGCTATTTCAGTCGGTCGGAGAAGATTAGGCCTATCCAGAGTTCCTCGAATCGTCTCGACTCGTTCCGAGAAGAACGTGCCTTTAGAAAGCATGAGAAACTAGTTGGCCGCCATCATCTTTTGGGAATATGTTTTGAGTGTGAGGAATTTCGGTGAATTTTCAATGACTTTCCGTAAAATTACACAATGCTGCCAGGAAGACTGGAGGTGACGAGAACCAAGTCCTTGAGAGTCTCTCTCGTGCCACCAATCCAAGTACCATCGCTGGAGGGGACGACGAACTGAGGACTGTTGCGGTGGCGCCATCGATTGGATGAGGAAGTGAGAACTACAACGCCAGCGCCATCGCAGGTGGCATCGGGAACCTTACCCATGTGCTCAGTCGCCCCTGGAGGGAAAAATGAAGTCCTCATTCATCACAATTATTCTATGGATCTTAGCGTTAAAATCCTTAATTGACTCGCGGAAACGCTCATCTAGTATCTGCTGAGTATCTAGTATCTAGTATCTAGTATCTAGTATCTTTCTCGTGATCTTGTGTGCCGTGAGCGCGATGATGGCGCGGAAAGATCCATTTCTCGGCCATTCGCGATTTTCTCTGCCGTAGCTGATTTCCTGAAGCATCACCCTGAAAAGTTTCTCGTTTAATTCACTGGCACACAGTAAAAATCAATGGTTTACCTTTCTTCAACCTCAACCTCAAACCACCACCCCCCCCTCCTCATTCATCTTCTCTATGGAACTCAGTAACGTTAGGTTAACGACAGACTGTCTTCGGGTCAGGCCAAGTTTCGACCTTGTTTCGCTGGAAAGAAACTCATTCCTCGGCCTACGGACCAATTGGGTTGATATAGATTAATCACTCGTCTTCGGGACACCTCATTCAGGACTTAAAACGTTTGGCCGATCGCAGGCCCTTCGGTCACTCATGGACCACTTAACATAGAACGTGTAATGTTAGATCGATTGTAGGTCTCTTTCGAGTTTCTTGAGTGGTTTCAATGCGGTCGGAGAACATTAG